GGAAACTCTTCTCTTTAGGGTTAGGCATCGCTCAGGGCGCTTTTGACCGGCTCGATCAGACCCTTATTCAAGCGCCTTCGAAAAGCCGGGCCTACGCCGGCAATAACAAGAAGCCCATTTAAATCGGCTAAGTTATTGGCGAAAGACAGCCTTTGACCACCAATTTTCGGATAGCCGACAGATAAGACACCCTGGTACCGACGGCTTGAGAACTTGCCTCTCCGGCAACGAATTGCCAACTTGATGGGGCAAAAGTTCCAGTTCGGTTACAGAAATGGTCCGGCCTCGGAGCGAAACACCATTGTTGATCGGCCATCCGACAACTATGCCAGTTTTGTTTCGTTTGCATTTGTGACATGTACACCGCTGGTTGAAACTCATCGTCGGCGACAGACTTAGAACGCATGATTGGACATCCGTAATTGTTGATCGTTCTAGAACGTCCTCGACAAACAGCTTTTTGGACTTCTCGGACAGCCACCGTCTTGCCGTCGGGAACTGACTCGAAATCTGCGGGGCCGGAGGATCCCATGCCTCCACCCGCAGCTATGCATCCTTCCGAGAGGCCCAACTTGCACAACTCGCCCGATGTCCGGAGCCAAGAGTCGGGTTCTGCCGAATCGGCCCCTGACGGCAATGGGTTAGTCACGGATATCGGTGTCATATTAGTGGCACCGTATCCGTCCCCTGCGGCAGCCAGCTCCATACAGGTTTGATCTTTGACGCAATCTCTTCAATGGCCATCATAGTCATAGACACAGGCTGTTTTTGGTATTCGATGGCCCATGATGAACTCCGACAAAAGCGTGCAAGAGCCTGAGGATTCCTCAAGGAGGACCTCTTCCGACCGACGAAACGATGACGTTGAGGAATACGCAGACATTATTTCCGAGAACCGTAGAAATCCGAACACGGGTAAGCAAACCCGCGACTCCTTTTGTCGTGACTTCGGCCGTCTAATCGTCTCGTAGAGGACCCTGAGCGCGCAGACCTATCCAAAGTCCCCTCGGGAGCCGTAAGTTTCACGGATGTGCCCATCTCCTCTCGCACTGAGGTGCCTTATGAAGCGTACAGCCGCTTCTCCAAACGGCGCAAGCGTATTACCGTCGCCGTCATTTCGTGGTGTGGTCTTCTCTCCCCGATCTCCAGTACTGCCGTCTTATCGGCTCTCCCCGAAGTCGCCGCAGAGTACAGAACCTCGGGAAGCATCATCAGTCTAAGCAATGCGTTATATCTCGTTTTCATGGCGATCAGCCCATGCTTTTGGGGACCCCTTAGCCAAGTCTATGGGCGCAAATGGGTAAGCAAGACCTCGAGACGCTCCTTACCATTCACTTCTTCAGCCTCCTCATATTTTGTAATGTGACTGAACAACAACCTAGACCTGCACGGTTACATCTACGCTCTTCTTAGCCTGCTCTATCGGCACAGCTCTGAGCCCAAATGTGGCTGCGTTTTTCGTGTTCCGTATGCTCACCTCGTTTGCGGGAACTTCATTCCTCGTCACTGGGCCCGCTGTTATAGGTGACATGTACCATCCCACAACGCGGGCCACCGCTATGGGATGGTTCCTGTCCGGGACTCTGATCGGCCCCACCATCGGGCCCGTCCTCGGAGGTATCATCGTGACTTACACGTCATGGCGCGCCATCTTCTGGCTTCAAACGGCGCTCGCAGGCGTCGGTATGGTTGGCGCTGCCTTTTTTATGCCAGAGACTCTAGCAAAGCTCAAGAAAGAGGGCCTGGAGGGGCTCCCTATGGCCAAGAAAATCGGTGTCCTCTGGGAGATGACAAACCCTATCCGTGTCATCCGACTATTCAAATTTCCAAACCTCATTCTCGTGGCCATTTCCAGCGGTTCCCTTGTATGGAATATGTACGGCATGCTGACGCCAATTCGATACGTCCTCAACCCACGATTCGCCCTTACCTCGCCGGCGCAGTCAGGCCTATTTTACCTGGCTCCAGGTTGTGGCTATTTGGCCGGTACCCTCGTTGGTGGACGCTATGCTGACTACACCGTACGACGATGGATTGCACAGAGACAAGGCCGTCGAATTTCAGAGGATCGACTGCGGTCGTGCATTCCCTTCATCGGTGCTGTGTTGCCAGGCTGCATGCTGATTTACGGATGGTCGGTCCAAGAGCGAGTGGGTGGCATTGCGGTTCCCGTCATCTTTATGTTCCTCGGCGGTGTGGCACAGCTCTTCTGTTTCCCAAGTCTAAACACGTACTGCTTGGACGTGATCCAAGGCAGGAGTGCAGAAGTGATTGCGGGTAACTTCATGGTGAGATATCTATTTGGCGCCGCAGGATCAGCAGTAGTGCTTCCAGCGATCAAGACCATTGGCGTAGGATGGTTCAGCACTATCTCGTCAGGATTTATGATCTTCGGAGCCGCGTGTGTCTGGGCCGTTGCGCTTTGGGGTACGAATTGGCGAAAGAGGATCGACGAGAAGAAGGCTCCTCCGCCTGGAGCTTAGGCGCGTATCAAATTTTGAACTAAGCTTGGAAAACTTATTAGATGGGGTAAAATATGGAACAAATGGGTATTAGAGAATGAAGAATGCGGCAAAGGATGGAGGTTGATAAAACTTTGACTTTACGAATTACCCCGCAACGTCACAGGCTGGTATCCTTGCAAAGATTGATAAACTTTTGGCTGAAGTCCTGGGTTCAGCGGTACGGTACTTTATTTTGACTTCGTACCGGCTGTAAACCCCCATTCCCCATCTGACAATGCTCTTCCGTGCCCTGGCTTGATCTAGAAGAAGAAGACCATTCCATTAGAAATTCTTACAAAACCATGTCATGGATCTGCCTGATCTAGACTCTCTAGGGGCGGGGCGAGGCGAGGCATGCTCGTAGCTTGCTTGCCTCACACTAGCTCAATCCTTCGCTGACAACATCGGCATGTTAACATGGGTCTCCGATTCTACGCGGGATTTATCGCTGCCTGGATTGAGGACTAGTTGTTCGGAAGGATTCTGTGTCATCCCACAGGATGATCAGCCCCAGTGCTCCACTGGTCCTCGTTTGCCATGAGGTCCCAGAGGGACACCGCCCTCGTTGGCAGCTATCTCCTCAGGAACCACGCGGCTCATTCAGTGAAACTAGAATGCTTGTGCATACTATTTTGGGATACACAGTCCGTATTCTCGTTTGTCTCGGCCCCAAACCTGTGGCCTATATCGAAGTTATGACTCGGCTTCGACCCAATCCCTTCTTGTCACCAGGCTCGCACATGTCTGCGGGGTTTGTACATCTCATCCTTAATTCAACATAAACCAAAGAACAATACCATATTCCTGTACCTGCGATTTAAGCTGCATCGTTCCGTGTCAGGCTGAAGAGGTTTTTTAGTCGGACCAACAACCGAAAATCGCCAGTATTCATTTCCAATACTCACGAAAACCGCTTATCGTCGAGATGTTTGCCAATTTACTCAATAAGACCCAATCATATCTTCCACGTATGGCATCTCACCTCAAAGATCAAACGACTGAGAAGTTGCTAACGCTTTGAAGATTCGGCAAAGTTTCACAGAAACGCATACAGGGAGCTCAAGGACTCCAACGAGTCTGTTGACTCCACCGGCGGGTTGCTATCGACGAAAGAATCATCAGCTGCACAATTGCGTCCATTTTCGAACAGTGGAGGCAGCTGGAGATGGGCAATAGTATGGTTATCATTTTTCTTTTGAGAATGAAAACGGGAAGAAGGCGTCAAAAATAAAGGGTCCGATAACAAGCTAAACTTTCTCATCTGATTTCGCGAAAGCGCACGAAGGGATCGATTTGCTTTTAAAACCATCACAGCAAGCGTGCTAACTAGACTGCAGTTTCATATTCAGCATTATGGAGAATTTAAACCACAATTAACATTCCCCCTGGGAGGATAGTAGGGCAATGTCTACTAGAATCCATGGAGTGAATTGGAGAACGAAAAGCATCTACCGTCTGTATACCAGCCAATATTGCTCATTTCGCCAGGCTTAATCTGATAATTTGCTTCATCGTCCCACTCTCTTATGAAAGGGTCGCGAATCCATTCATCCCAATAGTTCTATTTGCTACCCTCAGGAATTACACCACATTCCATGTTTCCGACAAGCCGAAACTCGTCAAAAAGGGAATGCGGAACTTCGACATCGAAGCTTTTAAGCTTGAGGCTTGTCGCAGCTGACAAGAGAGGCTTGAGTAGTATGGATTCCACCTCTGCCATATTGTCTGATGGCCTGAAACGCTTGTAGTAAAGGCGATCCTCGAACGCCAAGGTGAGTCGCGACAGCCCGGGAGAAGCCTGTGAAAGAAGCTCCAGCGATTGGGTGAATCTTCGTCTATGTTCAGTACATACACGGTCTGTACTGTCGCTGAAAAGGTCAAATCTCCATTTGATTTCCAGAGAAGTTGCGAGACCAACTATGCACCTAGGCAGAAATCCTGCCGAGCTAAGTGCATGGCGTCTTGGACAGAGTCGGCCTGATAGATTCCTTGACCGATATGCATCATTTGTCAGCTGGTAGCATATCAACATAAGAGTTGCGGCCATGACTCTTACGCCGGGGATTCTTCTCGGGGTGCTACCGTGCTCCGCGCCGCGCGGTATCCAAATCGGCATCTTGTGGGTAAACACGGGCCGTCGAGGAAGCCTACCTAAACAGGGCGGGCTTCTGTGTAAATTAGGCAGCAACCGGGCGTTTTCATTGCAACAGAACAGGTACTTATCAAGCAGCGATACTTTTTAAGTGCAACGCTATGTTCTTTGAAGTCTATATAATGGTTGCGAAATCTCTGGTTTGTTACACATTCGGAACAGCTAGAGAATCGTGGCATTGTTCGACTCTCCCTACGTTGTGCGCATATCCAAAAAATGGACGCATCTAAGAAGAAACTGCCCAACCTCGTGTTGTATCGCGGATTTCCCGTTTCGCTTCTTACGTCTGGTCGCCCTTTGTTACAAAACTCGAAGCAATCAAGTACCGTCTAGACCAACGTTCCATGTCCCAGGCGCCTCGGGGCAAGGTCCCATACATCGAATTCACTCCGAACGGGCAAGATAGACCTTTAGCACTGGGTGACTCTTCTCTTATTATCCAGCATCTTGTGGATAACAATATCTGTGAAGACCTGAACGAGTCACTACCACCCGCTGCAAGATCCCATGACATGGCTCTAAGGGCTTTGTTTGAGGAGAGATTGTACTTTTATCAAGTAAGCATATTCAACATTGTATGTCGTTTCCGAAAAATGTCTAATATGGCATGAAAGAGTATGGAGCGGTGGCACGACAACTACGAGACGATGAGATCCGGGGTGATGGGCGCAATTCCTTGGCCAATTCAACCTCTGATCGGGCTGCTGGCCTATCGTGGTCTAACTCGAACGCTGGACGGACAAGGCACTGGGAGGTTTACGAGTGCCGAAGTTGCCAGCTTTCGGCATGATGTCTGGGACAATGTCAATGCGTTGTTAGCCGAGCCACGCCTCACAGTGCCTAGCCCAAATGCACCATTCTGGATATTGGGCGGTTCAGAGCCTTCAGAGGCCGATGCTCCGGCCTTGTATGCAACGCGTAAGTTCTTTAGTCCTCTCTTGTGATCAGGTTCTTTGCTATTGATAGTCGTCGGCCTACGAAACCTCGTTGGCTGACTTCAACTCTCAGAGCTCCGGATACTCAAAGAGTCATTCGAAGCTACCCAGTGCTAGTTGACTACGCGAAGAGGATCCATGAGCACTACTTCAGCGAATATCAACTTTGGGAAGACGACATGTAACAACAGCTGGCTGAAAGCAAAAGATTCGTATGTTCTTTAGAAGTAATATACATGAAGAGGATAGTTGAAGGTATCTTCGATTACCATGCTAGACAATTTACTACTTCAACTCATTATATGCACCATGTGTTCCTAGCGAATCTCAATGGTCTCGACTTCTGCCATCTGAGAGCGCAATATTTCAGATACCTCTCCCTTCATGAGTCCTAGCATGAAGCACGGGCTTACGAAAAGAAAGTGATCTCCCTCGGGCCTCAAAATAACTGGGCTGTCGCAGTCTTTCAATACACGGACGATATCGTTAATTTGAACATCGCCTCCAGCGATCCCAATGTAGTCGTCAGTCCCGACCAATCGACAACCGGCATTCTCGCTCATGATGGGAGTCCACTCGGACAGCACCACTTTCATGTTGTCTCTCATTTCCATTTCATCAAGCCCCTCCATAGCCTGCCTTAACTCCTCCCCAATCTTGCCAGAAGGTACCCAATTGTAGAAGTAGAGAAAGAGCGATGCAATCCGTCGAAGATCATATTCACTATACAGTCTCTGCAACAGAGTGCAGCAGATGACGTCCACCAGAGGCTTTCCGGTGACATATGTCGAGTTTCGCCTAGCCAGCAAAGTCTCGAAGCAGTCCAGCAGGTCTTTGGTCCAGAAATCCGCCCTAAGTGGCTTGTGGTACTGGTACGTGATCTTCTGCGCTTTTACACCTGCCACTCACAGACTGGCATCGGAAATTCGGACTTCTGAAGCCTGGCACAGCTCAGCGACGTCCCGAAACGCGAGACTAGATGAAGTCCTGACGTTCATGAACCACCCCTTGGGGCGTAGATCATTGAACGCTGGGACCCAAGTAGGAAGGACCTCATTTCTCTGGACTCCTGCTGCACAAAGTGACAAGAAAAAGAGGCGTCCGTTGGATTGATCTGGTGGTTGCCAAAGAGTGCTCCAGCGGTTGACTAGTTCTCTTGCGTAGTCCAAATAGACTTTTCGTATGTAGGCACGGTAATCCGGTGTAATATCGAAATTTGTGATTGCCAACACCCCATAGACATAATGTCTAGGATTGGTTGCTCTGATGGTTCCAAACAAAGTGGAACTGAGCACATGATATAGGCAAGAATCTTCGTAACCTCGCAGATGGAATGCTTGTCTGAGATTGAGGCGCCATTGAACGAGGAATAGCTGTGAACGAATTATCGACGCTCTGGAGCGGCCTAGAGCACCCACATCGCGCGCTCGACCGCGCTGTATAACCCCCAAAACTTCCATGATACCAGTGACAGCCATTATTGCTTTGCAGTGGTCGAGAGATCGCGATGGACAGGCGAAATAGAGAGACTTGGGAAACATCAGCTCCTGTAATATCCAGACGCGGGACCAATAGGGCAGGTCTGCCAGCGTTTTCAAAGCTGTCCAGCAACTGGAGGCTGGAAAGATGTCTCGCTCTTCTCTGCTAGGATACCCAAATCGCCCCAAGGCCAGAGGGACCATTTGAGCCCAGTTAATAGAATGATTCAGGGTGTTAGTGGTTTCGGCCCATTCGGCATCAGTAATATCCAGTTGCTGTCCGGAGTTGATGTGGACAAGGATCTTGACGAGGTAGAATGCAGTTTCTAGCATCTCCAAGCTTGTCGAGATTTCTCCGTCTTCAGAAGATAACCATGCAAGCACAAGGTCTGCTTTTGAATAAATATCTTTCATCAACGGAACCTGTTCCGACTTCTCCGGTAGGTTCTGCTGGTTGATGCAAATTGCATCCGCCCAGATTCGGAACTCGACGGCATCGCGACCGGTGTTTTTCTCACTTTGTATGTCTAGCCAGTGCTTTTTGACATGTTTCCGAGCGGTCGCGAGATTGACTGTGACCGGTGTCTGGAGACCATCGATGTCGATGTTTTCGGTCACGAGGTGGTCACCCGACATAGGACAAGGCAATGAAGTACGGGTTGTCATCCAAAGATACGGTATGCAATCTGTACGGAATCTGAGTGTTTCCAGGCTCGCTAACAACTTCCAAGAGCCTTATTTCCCTTTTCTCGGGGTCGAGGTCCGTGTAGGGGATTGATACCATCGGGTAGTGTTCTGTGATTGCTTGCGTGTTTTCAGTCGACGATTCTGGCTAGAAGACTAAGAATGGTCAAATATTTGGCAAGCAAACCGGAACTGCTATGGTATTTGAAGCGGGGTAACAGCTTTATCAGTATGCTGAACTGGGCTGTTTTCGATCTAAGCTGCATGGGTTCCCAGTGGTGTTGGACCTCAGCCTCAACGATTACGCCACATTGAATACTTCCACTTGGAAACTGACTGCCTCTGTGTCTATCTTAGGGGCTCAATGAAGACAGTAAGAAGCCATTATTCCCTGTGTAGCTCACTGCAGTGACAGCAGAAGAGTAGATTAGAAGGGAAGGGACCATCGAGAGCGCTGTCGGTAATTGGCGAGAAACTATGACCATGCATTCTTGGAAGCAACCTCAAAACTCTTTTCGCACATGTTATCTGTCCATTCTTCTTGGGATTCTTTTCAATATGGTGCGAAAAGTCGAGTAATTGTTCGGTCAAAAATCGACAAGCTGACGCTGCCACGATCCTTGGGGGAAACAAAAAAGCCCACTGAGGCAGGCCTACATGAATTTCTATCCCCGTCATCAGGTTGTGTGCATGAACAAGATCCGTCACTCATCTGGCTGCCTAGTGCAACATGGAAATCTGGAGTAACGACATAGAAGCTTATCGGCATTTGGCGCGTTGAAAAGCGCCCGCCGTTAACGAAGCACCGGAGGAAGCCTGCTGATGCAACACGAGAGTCCGAATCCCAGGGGTCTCAGCTCCAGGCCGTCTGACCACAGGAGGTGATCAGCCCTGAAATGGTGGATCAAACTCATTTAGCGACACATTAGTCTGCCTCCTTCGGCATTAGTTCCAACATCCAAGCCACTGAAGTCCTTAGGTATTGGATCAAGCATTAATACTGCGTCGGCGGCGTTCACGGGCGCGTCCCGTTGCCCGCGCCCGTTTACCCGTTCGTAATCTCGCTGAGAGCAGGTTAATCTTTCTGCCTGTTGTCCTGCGTTCAACCTCCCTTCCCTCCGTGTCTGTCCGTCCCAAAGAACTTTGGTCCTTTCATTCCGTGTCCGTAGGTAAGGTACGGATGCGCCGCCTCGAACACTCTGGCGCTTGACGAGCCACCGCCCATTCGCCGATTCCATGCCTTGTTACGACTGTACATCGGCTATCACGCATTGCTGCGCCTAGGACCATGGAGTCCCGTCAGCGCAGCCCAACCCCGCTTTTGAAGACGTGTCGCACATGTGCTCACGCCAAAATCAAATGCGACCGAACGCAGGACTCGGTCATCTGCGATAGATGCCTCCGGCTCGGCAAAGAGTGCTCGTATGCACCGGCCCGTGGCCGTAAACCCCCGGGGTCCCGTGCAAGGTAGTTGTCCCCAGTTTTCCGTGTTCCGGCTCCGAGACTGAACCAAAAGAAGGTCGAACAAGCTACTTCATGTCCCCAATCAATCGGCCCCTCCGCCGCCCGCCGAAAGTCCCGCCGCGTCTTCATCTAACCACAGCCGGAGCCCTCCTCCAGCCACTGCCAGTTCCGGTCTTCCAAGGCCGAGGCTTGAGGGACATGATCCGTTCGATGCCGGCCAGCTGACGGTAGAGAAGGGCCAAGAGCTACTCAACCGATTCCGCACAAAGCTCACTCCTCACTTTCCGTTTGTCATAATTCCCGCCGACGAGAATGTGAACACCTTGAAGCAGACCAAACCAGCCCTATGTCTGGCGCTGATGGCCGCAGCATCCCACGATGACGTTCGTCTTCAGCGGGCTCTAGGCCAGATGTTTAATGAACTAATCGCCGCCCGTCTAATTGAGGGCGACTTTACCTCTCTACACATACTCCAAGGTCTCCTCGTACATCTTGCCTGGTAAGGCAGTGCCTCGCCCTCGCGCTCCAATGCTGTGATCAGATATAGAAACTAATACTTTTGGAAGGGCTCATTTTCAACCGCGACCCAAGCGCTACACCCAACATCTGCATATGGCTGTCAGTATAGTTTCGGATCTGCGTCTGGATAGACCAAAAAACGTGCAAGGATGGAATGTTGAACGCTCAGAGCGGATGGGAACGGCCCAGCATTACGTTGAGTCTCTTGATGAACAGAGGGCTTTTCTCGGAACATACTATCTCTCATCTTGGTTGGTTACCAAAATCATTACTGCTGGACACAGTACTAACCGGCCTAATCCAAAGTTCGAGCATTGTTCTCCAAAAGCTCCGCATCGTTACCCTTACAACATATATGACGGAGACTGCTGATCGGCTCGCTGAAGTAGCTGAGTACCCAACGGACCAGTACCTACCTTACATCATTCGCCTTCAGCGTGTCGCTGAAGACATCGATGACATCGTGAAGAACGAGTCAACGCTGGATCCAATGCAAATACAGGCGGCCGTTTCAGATGCTAGAGAAAGGATAGAACTTTTCAAGAATAACTTGTCGTTCCCTCTGGGAGACTGTCGTAAGTAATGTCATTTCGACGATGCCATAAGGTCCTTTCGCTAACAAACTGGCGCAGCAATCTTGGTGCCCCAAATACATACGATCCAGTTGTGCCTCAACCAGCTCTCACTTCCCAACGCGCCTTTCGCTCTTCATAAGCCGCAAAATCCCTCTTCACAGCGACTAATTCAGGGATTATCGGAGAGCATTGTCTCCGCAAAGTCCCTCGTCAGCATACTGCTTCATACCCCTCCAGACCAGGAGGTGTACTTCCCTAATATTGTTTGGGTCATGCTACACTGCGGAAATACTCTAGCAGCCCGCCTAGACCTTCAAGCAGCGGACCCAAGGATAAGCTTCATGACAGAACATCTTCGACAGTTCTCCGACATCGGTCACACCATTCGACAGGTTGTGCTTAGACTTGAGTCCGCGACGTCGCCAGACGTGGACGACAGAGGTGATCGAGATTCTTTCTACCATTTTCTCATACGCACGAAGCGTGTTGAAAAATGGCATCTAGACCAACAAAAGCTTTTCACAAGTCAGCATGATGTCTCGCCTCAAGGACTCAACGTCCCTACGACAAGGTCTCTCTCAAGCCTTGGAACACCGACCTCCAACCTGTCGAGTCAATCAGTTGGGTTTGGTTATTCCGTCGCGCCGTCAGTCTTCTCGCAACCAGCGATAGCTTCAGCAAGCAATGCTATGGCATACACAGATTTCACACTACCCGAAAATGCTGCGATGACCTCGAACGCCGATTTCCCTGTAGATTCTCTTGCATTCGTAAACGACACTTTCCTACCGTTCAAGAGCTGGAACTACACAATGGGGAGTGATCATGGGGGCAGTGCTCAGTTTTAGTGAGAATCCTTCAAGCGGGCTGGCGGAACCGGACACGGACACGGATACGGAATTTCGCTTTGCAACTCAAGGTCTCAGATATCGATGCTAGATCCTTTGAATTCAACACGGAAGTACTCTAAATTGTTGTCCCTCAAGGTTACTTGCATATTTGTGACTGGATTGCTATTGTGTGTTAGGCCTTTAATCAATGATGCGTGGCCCCGCTGAGGAAAGATCGGCCCCCGTGTCCGTACACGGCATCAGTTTGAGGCTTTGAATATCTTGAGTGTCAGAATAAACGATGGTATTTGTATAAGAGACAGGCGCGTCTCCGATAAGTAGGTCGTGTCTCATGCCATTCAACTCACAACTGTTCCCAACCAACGAAATCGAAATGCACTCTTCGACCTCCTTGGCTGTCTTAGCGACTCTGGTACTGTCCATGACAGGGGCCAGTTTAGCAGACACTCCGACGTATCAGCCATGCCCACTACTTCGAGCCTACTGCCCTGCCCCAAGCATTGATCAGAACTCTGAGGAGGTGAAGTCGTTCACGGACCAATTCACCAAGCTATTCGATCAACTCATTCAGAAAGGAGGATCGGATGATTTTGGCGACATTACACCAAATACTACTTCTTTCTCGGTTGTCTTGTTCTCAGGCTCCGACAAGTCTGAGGAGAATCCTGTCTTTTTCGAATATCATCACACGGCACCTGAAGCCCCCAAGGATTCGAGCCTAGACTCCGACACTATTTTCCCACTCGGCACACTAAGTCAACTCTCCACAGTCTATGCTTGGCTCGTGGAAGCTGGTGATGAGCATTGGGGGACACCGATTACTCAGTTTATCCCAGAACTAGGCAATGTGTCCACTGGATTGGCAGTCAAGTGGGATGAGATCACCACTGGGGCATTGGCTGGCCAGATGTCCGGCCTTGCCAGGGATTGTATGTTATCAGGATTCAAGCAAAGTCAGGCAGATCTCAGCTAACTCTCGACAGCGTTCGCTTGTAGGTTGGATGAGCCCTGCGCCCGCAACGACTTCATTGAGAAGTTCGCTACACAGTCACCGCTGTTTCTCCCTGATACAACTCCGGTAATATCGAACGCTGCTTTCCAGCTCCTTGCTTTTGCGCTTGAAGCCCATAAAGCCCATAAAGCCGGCAACCGATCTGCGACTTTCGATCAAATCCTCGATACGGCAATCTTTTGGCCGCTTAACATGACCAATAGCGGACTTCTGGCCCAGAATAAGAAAGTCTTCGCAGACGGCCTCAATACGTCGGCTATCGGAGAACCTAGGTAAGTGCATCTTCGCATCCCACAATCTTTGGTCCACTAATTATCAAATAACAGCGCGTTATCTATCATTTCTACCGCCTCAGACCTTGCACGTGCTGGCCATTCCATGCTTAGCTCACGCCTCATCCCCGAAGCCGCGACCCGTCGTTGGCTCCAACCCATCGCCGGTACATCAAACTTGCGAAATGGTGTTGGTCGCCCATGGGAGATCTACCACGCGGGCCAATATGCGAATAGCTCCATCCTCGATGTCTACACTAAGACAGGCCTGATTGGCCACTACGCAAGCTACTTTGGTCTGGCCCCAGACTTCAACGCAGGTTTCGCTATTCTTGCTCATGATACCGAAGCTGCCAGAGGGCCCGACTTGAATGTCTACGCTGACATTGTTTCTCTTGCAATTGTGCAGTTGCAGAAACTAAAGCAAGATACGTTGGATCCTTCGATGGGTCTGCAGGGTCAGCAAGCTTCAACGTCTCGAGTGATGGCCCTGGGCTCATTGTGACATCGCTAAAGAAGGGCGACGTTGATCTCCAGAATGAGATTGCGGCCTCCGCTGGCATCCGACTTGACAATCTTGATTTTCGTCTTTACCCTAGCAACGTGATGACTGAGGCTCAGCATCAGTTTGTCGCCGTATTCCAGGACAAGAGCGCGCCCGTTGACATGGGCACACCCACTTGCATCACCTGGCAAGATGTTGGCTCTCTGGGATCCAGTGTGGACGTCCAATTTGTGTTCGATATGGCCAACACAGGGAAAGCTTCAAAAGTGACGTTTGACGGTGGCTCAATTACTCTTTCAAGGTCTGGTTGAAGATGCCCTTGTAAGACTGGAGTTTCTGCTTCATCCGCGTTTGCCGGCTTTCGCATTAGACAACGGTTCTCTACAGACGGAAATGTTAGGTTCCTAAGAGACTACACGTGAAATATTCTATTAATGCCCCCGAGGGCTGTTCTTCTATTAGCCTGGACTCTTGGTCTTTTCACATGAACTTTTTCTTCGCCAATACTCTACTTTTTTCCTCGCAGCTTTTTGGGTGAGGTCAATTCTATTAGTAGGTCGCGTGCAGATTTGTAACACACCAAGTGTGTTTTCAGGCCATTTCCTATTTCTCGTGTAGGAAGGTGTCATTAGCAGCTTGGAACCAAGAACAACAACTTCTTGGGAAGCTTTCGTGGGCCGAGGCAGAAAGCTTTCCACAACGACGCGTGACTCGAGCTGCGTTGTTCCGGACTTCAGTTTGTTTGGCAGAGTCGCACTGACCATCAAAACATGAATGCAGCCACAACTCCTCCCTTTTTTGATCATGTGTGTGTCCTGCCCCTTTCAAGTTGCCCCGAGGCCGGACTCAAGGGGCAGATTGCAGGAATTCTTGGCTGGAGCTCCTGTGTGGTCGGCTGATGAATCCCGAAAGCTACCAAGCGACTGGAGCGATCTTGACCATTTGCGGCCCTGTTCCCGTTCCGTGGCGGGGCCGCCCAATCTAATCGTCGCGGGATTGCTTCCCAAAGAAGAAGGACTGCACTTTATCAGGTTCCGCACCCTTAACTCTAAGTTCCAGAAAAGCAACCTGCTTGATCCGGGGAACGAAACCCTCGGACAACACGGACACGCAATATGAGTTGTATATGAGAGCAAGTTGTCGCCATCTTCGAAACCAATGTTGCCTTTCCCTTAATTCACAGCCATCATCTATCACAAGCAAAATGCAGTTGTTCAAGGTCTTGTTCTTTGTCCTGTAAGTTTCCTTCATCATGAGGAAAGCACTGTAATCTGACATCTGGTCCACAGCCCCTTCATCGGAGCCTCCCAGGCCCTGCTGTGCTCTTGCGACGGCAGCAACGTTGATTCAATCACCTGCTGTGACGGAAAGTGGAGTACGTAACAAATCTCGTCAAATGTGCTGCATGGTCACTAACAATTGCCAGACGGTTATGAGTGCGAGCCTTCCACACAGGAGAGCTACACCACGTGCTGCAAGACTCAATTCTCCCGCACCACCTTCTGCAGAGACGGCAGCGTTTAAATACAGTTGTCGGCCCAAAGACAACCACTAGGCATTGAAGACAATATCATTTCTTCACGAGGCTCCTCCAAAACGTTTACGTGCATGCTGGCTGACCTTACTTGATAATGGCTACTGAAGGCTCCACCAAGTGCATCGCTAAGTCCTAATTGTGATTCCAATGTGTAAATACTCAAGTCATTTCAAATGTATTTCTGATAATGCGATCGAAATAAAATCCAACAACATCATATCAGTATATTTGTCAATAGTTCTTTCTTGCTTCATACAGTCGTGGCTGGGGGCTCTCGGCTGGTCTGATAATTCTACTAGAGATTGAACTCGCAAGTAACTCCATGATCTCGAGGTCCGCATCGACCGTTAGAGCCCTCCAGAACGGCCACTTGGTCATTGTAAACCATTGATGCGCCATTCAGACCGTGACCACTGCTACTGTCGCATCCTTCGCCGTTCGTCACGATCAGCTCGTTCCTGAGACCAGTCTGTTTGGTAGACAAGTGTGTGGCTGGATCGCTTTTACAAGGTGTCTTCAAAGGGTCGACGTTGTTCCAGCCGCTGAGATCTCCCTTGGGCTTGCAAATGCGAACCTACTGCCATGTTAGCTCAAAAGCGCCCAAAAAGACGGACTGGTCTCTATGAAGGGTATCATCTCAAGCATCACTCACCCAAGGTTGACCGTCATCGTAGTTCGAGTCGCGAATAGAGGTGTAGTGTACCACGAACTTGTCTTTCGTAGGTTCGAAAGCATGCTGATCCGCATTGCACTCAAAGATGGCAGTCGCTGTGTCTGCGTGAAGAGCAATGCCGGCCAGAACGGTCTTGGTCAAAGTAGCGAAGCGCATTCCGGGCTAGAGGTGATGTTGTATACGTGGAGAATTTTGATATGAGAGTTCAAGGTAGGCTGGCAAAGAACTGTATGAGTTGCTTCTTGCTGGAGAGTCATCCGAACAGAACTTTCGGCTCCTTTTATACTACTGATGAGTTCAATAACCACCTTGTACCCATCTGCCTCAGTGTAGTGCACCTTCCTAATTCTGCGAATTGCTGTTCAAGTCATCTGAGGCAAAGTTTTGTTTCTATGACGGATGGAACGGGACGATCGCAAGGGCTTTGTGAGGCCGTGTCCCACTCATGAGGTGTTTTGTACAGTCTTGCTCGGACCAGTCAGAAATTGAAGAAATGAGACTGCTTGTGCGTGCATGCCCATATGAGAGTGTCAACTCTGGATCATCCATGACTATCAATAGGACTTTTGGCGCCTGCTACCGAAGCATTAGGCACACACAACCTACGGAATCCTCCTGGTCCATGTTTTGCCGATAGCTGAGACTTCGGGGCGATGAAAATCGGGTCTTTGGCGATCAGTTCCGCGAAGAGAAAAACAGAGTACCAGGCGTCAGCCGACCGCGATACGACAATCCCGTGCGAAGCCGGCCATTTCCAAGCTGATTCAGACGGATTTCTAGGCAGGATTCGCTATCCACTAGGACGGCAACACAGATAGACCATTCAGTCTCCTTATACAATGATTCCATGCAACGGAGACAACTTTGAGACTTTGTCTTGGCTCAAGCATGCGCTCTCGGCTTCTTGAGAAATACTTCTAGAATCTGACAGATTCCTGTCGATCTAAAAATGCGGGGACTGTTGTCCATTTCGCATCCTTACTTTTCAAGATTATTCAAGACATGCCTGGAAGCATCGAGGGGCTGATTATTCCTTATGATGTCAAACCTTCCGTACGCCTACGCAATGATGCTTCCAGTCTTCATTTCCCTTGGCAGAGGCTTCGACCAAGCATTTAAGTGTGGTCAGCCGCTGAAAAACAGCCCAGGGAGCTGCTATGGCCAAGCCAATTATCCAGTCCTTACGTCAACCCATCAGCGTCTCATACCCATTCTCAATCATGACGTCCATCCAGTAAACATCTTCTTGTTCTTTGTCCATCGATGCCCAAGTCTCCTTTATCAAGGTCAGCATTTGACGGATTGGTTTTGCAGCTAAAACACCCTCAAAAAATGAGAGACGAGACAAAATAAGTCGCCTGCCATGGAGAATGTCGGTTGTCGTCGGCGGCACCTCCATTCGTGGACTTGATATGGCGTTGAATCCGGGGCTGCCTCGAAGTTCGCCGATGGGCACAAACCCGCGGTTAAGCGAAAGCTCGCTGCAGATACTGACAAGGAGTAAAGGCTGAATAGATCGAGACCGTGAAGACATTGGTATTTCATGCACAAGGTCGAGCACATGAAGCGCAAGGCTGGTCAACCAGGTATCTAGCAAGACTCTGGAGCTGCCATGCGCTGCAACACCACAATGAGTCGTGCTCAACCAAGAGGACTGGTCTGTACAGTTTGCCGATTCTATGTCACGGAGAAATAAATCGGGAAAGTTTCGATATAGTTGCAGCAAGCCCGTGCAACGGTAGGCTTCAGCAGCTTTCAACAGATGGTTTGCCGGGGTCCTATCATCCCCAGAGTCTATGACAGCAGAACTCGATGGCAGTTCAATGCGGCAAAGCTTTGAGTGCAGATCTTCGGAAGCTTGAATAGCGCTGAGAGACTCTTCGATGTCGCGTCTCGAAGAATGCCGGCGACGCCTGATTCTCTTTCTCTCTCTTCGGACCAGAGCACCGACCTGGGCAACAAGCTCTTGGATTTCTACTCCGAGCCCGGTCTGTGGATGTGGCATTCGTAAGTTGTCTTGTTCTGGGAGCCGACACGGTTGTGGAAGGATTGCTCGGGTAGAGCCAAGCGACGGCAGCTCTTGGTCGGTGACGAAGGATAGCAGCATCTTCCAATACACCAGAGAGTTGTAAAAGAAAAATTTCTTTTGTCGATCGGCAAGCGCCAGGTCATCGTCATTGTTCTCGAGGGATATAACGGCCTCGGCAAGCATCTTAAATTCGTCCTGGCCAAGCTTTCGAGGGTCGTGCCAGCAAAGACTGAAGCCAAGCATAACTAGAGCCAGGAGGGAGGACGTGTTCGTTGGGTGGGTTTTGCTCTCGTTCCACAGAGATGTGACAGCTTGGTTGCCAAGACGACCACTAGCTGCCGAGAATCCGGGAGAAACTTCAGACAGGCAAGCTGCTGCCATGCTTTGGGTGACATAATAGAGAGAGGGTGACTGTGTCCAGAGCTTGGATATTGTTGTTCTGTACGGATTCATGTCACTGTCGTAGCAAGACATCATCCCACATACTTCTTTGAAGTAGTATTCGACTAATGTAGATGAATCATCTTGCAGAGAATGCGATAGTGGGTATTTGTGGCTGGATAGGTCGCTCGTAAACGGTTCAAGCTCTTTTGAGCTATCGCTTGGGTTGTGTGGGGGTATCACCGGCCATATGTGCCCATCGTGGCCATTGCCTACAGCTTGAAGCTGTGAGGAATCAACCCGTGAACTAGGTGTGGGATATGTCTTCTCGCTTGCAATGTCTGATGCCGAAAACAGATGTTGTAGACCGCCTATATCTTGTGCATCTAGGCTTCCAGGGGTGTCGACTTCGGCGAAAGAGTTGAAGAAGTCCAGGTCGCAAAGGTCTTTTGGCGACTGATCAGTAGGCTGCGACTGGCCAGAAACAGTCCCCATACTTTCCCATGCAGCAGGTGACCTCGTTATCTCGGGCGAAGGAGAGTTACCGCCCAGTATTATTGAGGTCGAGCTCCATTTCAGAGGTTTTCGGTAGCCCGGACACGCAATACCGAGCCTTTTGCAACGCGAGCAGTGAGGCTTTACCTCGTCACATTTGAGCTTTTTCTTGTTAGCATAGCTCAGTACAGCATAGACAATGCGCAATGCTGTTTCTTACCCGTTTAGATTTGCAGACAGCACATCCGTTGCGAGATCGTGTGATAATTTTGCGCGGAGACGCTTGCATGTTAGCATGTAGGCCAGACCATGCGTTCATGAGTCTCATTCAAGTGCTTCCGTGTGGCTTTGTGACATCCCAATTCCTAGTGAGAAGTTCAGACTTCAGAGGCCACGCCTCAGGCGTTGCTGTGTGACGTTGCCAAAATGACTCGAGCTGCCGTGCAGGGGCTCATCGGGGCGGCACTTACAGTCCGTTGCACTGATAGCGTCCGCCCCCCCTTTTTGCTAAAATTACGCAAATATAATCCCTATATATATATAAAAATTTACCTAATGTTATATAGATATTCGTAGTATAGTAATTAACCTATTTTAATAACTTTAATTAATCTATTTTAATTAAATCTTATAATCTACAGGTATTATAATACCTCTTAAGTATTATTATACATTTTAGTAATTAGATAATAACCTATTTAAGTATTATTTATTGTTTGTTACTAATAATATCTAGAGATAATAATATATATAATAATTAATATAAGATATTATTAGAGATTTGTTTAATATTTTATTTTATTACTAATTAGAATTATTATATTTACTAAAAAGGCTTATTAAACTACTATTATTAAAGAGGTTATTAAAAAGCTATTAAAAAAGTTGTTATTATTAAAGCTAGTTTTAGAACTAATAATTTAGTAGGTTTTAAGTTTATATAATAAAAAAGTATATATATATAGCTTCTCTATTGTTATAAAAAGTTTTAAAAATGTGTTTTCTTAAAAATAAATAATAATATAAAAGAAATAAAAAAAAGATTTACTATAGAAGATTTAGTTTTAAAATAGTTTATTTTTATTAATGCTATCATTTTAATTAAATTTGACTTTAGCTAACTTAATTTTTTATTAAGCTACTTAATTTATAGATAATATATTTATAACTTCTTATTATAATATTAACAATATATTTATATTATTTTCTAACATATTTAAAAAAGAGAAAGATATAAGTAATAATAAACTAGTTTTACTATAAATTTCAGTTATTTATAGTTTAATATTTAAAAGTAATAATTTATTTATTTTTAATTTAATTATTAAAAATATTATATATAATGAATTTAGTTTTATTAGTATATTAAATATAAATAATAGAGATTAAAAAACAAGTAGTTAGTAATATTTAATTTAAAACATAAATAGTTTATTTATATAATCTAAAAAAAACTAATACTGTTATTATTATTATTTAAAGAAAGCTAATGAATATATCTAAATTAATATTAATTTTTATTTAAATATATCTACTTATTAGAGAGATTGTTAGCTAAGTATTCTATAAATTAATATTATTCCTTTTTTTAAATAAGCTAAACAGAGAAATAAAATTTACCTCATTATTAAGTAATAATATAACGCTATATTAATTTCTTATAAGATAATAATTAGTATATAAACGCTTTAAAATAGTAGTTAAATAAATATTCTAATTAGTAACATGGTTCATCAGTCAGCCGGCCGGACCAGTCAGCCGGACGTTTTTTTCTAAACACTCTTACGTCCAAATCACTTAAACCTTTGACGCGTAAAATCTCAATAACCATAATGCCAATCTGCACCCAAGAAGACAAAGTCATTCTCGCGATTGAAGCGATCCGATCGACACGCGCTGCAGGTAATAACTTGAGTATTTCGCGTGCTGTAAAGACCTATGGTATCCTAAAGAGCACCTTAGCCAATAGAATGAATAACCGACCGCAACGCGAACAAGCTCAACCCTAACGATATAAACTTAATCTGATTGAAGAGAAAACACTTCTCTAATATGTTATTGAACAGGATTCCAGAGGATTTCCTTTCCGCCTCAGCAGTGTGGAAGATATGGCTAATCTCCTGCTGAGAGCGCGTAATGGCGAGCCTGTTGGCACGCGATAGGCCAGGCGGTTTGTGGACTCACAGCCTGCTCTGAAAACCAAGTTTAATCGTCCATACGATTATTAAAGGGCTCTTTAAGAAGATCCTAA